ATCATCAAAAATATCTAACCATATTTTGTTACAGTTGGTTGGGACGGTTGGCTTAAGGTCTGGAATTAAAATTTCACAATCAGATTTTAATTCAAGGCTCATGATTCCTAAATCAACAGTGTTGCAATCAACCCATCTGGTGAATACATTGCAACAGGAGGTAAAGACAAGAAATTGTACATTTGGAACATCACAGATTTGAAGAAACCAGCCTTTGAATATGATGCTGGAGGTATCATTAATTAAGTAAAAAAATTTATAAAATTATTAGCTTGCTTTCCATCCATAATAAAATTGGATCGTAGCCGCCACAGAAAATGGAATTAAAGTTTGGTAAATTTCATAAGAAGAAAAAGCTGAAACCAAAACACCAATTGTCACATTAGATCACCACACTGAAAGTATTTTATTTTAATTAAATCATCTAGCTGCTGTTGCTGGAGGAGTGAAGAAGATTTAAAAGCACGGAGCTGTTTCTGTTGCTCTTGATGCCAATGGTGCTAAACTTTATGGAGGATTCACTGATGGATCAATCTTAGTTTGGGAAGTTTCAACCAAGAATTGAAAAAATAATGTACATTACATAAATTCCAATAATCATACACTATAGGCATAACAGTGAAAAAAGTTAATAGCTTTTTTAATACGACTGCCTATTAAATTAGGAGGAAGGTGTGCTTAGTGAAATGAATATTGGAATTTCAAATACAATATAAAATCAATTAATATGATTTTTCTTTTTGATTAAAATTTTGAACTCTTTTTATTCAATTAAATTGAGAGAGCAATTAAATACTTGTGTAATTCGACACAAAATAGAGGATGGATCTTCAACACTAAATCTCAATTAGTTCAGATTAATTTATAATTGGTAAATGTAATTATATCTCTAAATATATGAAAATTATCTCAGATTTCATGTCGTAATTTTGATTAATCAAATTTAAGTCTCGGCGCAATATTCATTGAAATTAATTCCTAAATTAATGTCTTAGCTGCATATGGCATTAAGACTTAATAAATTTAATTTTGTTGGTTAGTATTCTTACATATATTACAATAAAACTCTTAATTCTCTAAATTAGCAACTGCAAATAAACCACATTTAGAACAAACATGAACTCTAAATGCGTCTGATACATCATAAGTTCTCTCTTTTAAAAATTTAGCAGTTCCTAAACGATTATATAAATAACAAACCATGTGAAATGATGCAATCTCTTTCCATCTCACCAAATCTCAAACCTCCCTTTCTACTTCTTCCATGAGTAGGTTGTCTTGTAATGCCTGTGACAGGTCCTCTTGAACGAGCATACATCTTGTCATCTACTAAATGTCTCAATCTTTAATAATAAGTTGGTCCAACAAATATTGGAATTTAAAACATATTGCCAGAATAAGGGTTTGTCATCACTTCATTTCCCCATTTTTACCACCCAACTTTATGCAATTCATTTGCGATATCATTAACTGAAATCTAAGCAAATGGAGTAGCATCATTAAATTGCCCTTTGATTGAAGCTAATTTGGAAGATAAACATTCAATTAAATGCCCTAATAATATAGAAAATTATAATTATACCAATAGTCATTCTTGACGGAATACAGTGTGGGTTAATTGTTAAATCAGGAGATATTCCATGAAGAGTGAATGGTAAATCTTCTTATCGATATGTCATTCCACAAGTTCCTTTTTATCCATGTCTACTGCAAAACTTATCTCCAATTTATGGGATTCTCAATGATCTTACTTTTACCTTTACTAACTTATATCCTTTTTAATTTTCACTAATTAAAACTGAGTCTACTACACCTCTTTCAGCTCTTCTTGTTAATAGTGAGCATTCTTTGGTATTCTTCTAACCATTAGCTGTATTCAACATAATATTATCAATAATCAATTCTTTTCCAATTATGGGCTCTTCCTCATCCACTTTAGTTCCAGGAGGTACAATTCCATCACTATCCAATTTAATAAAAAGTTTGCCAGCATAATTGTCTCCAACTGGTTTTGTAATTTTAGTTTCTGTAAAATTATCAGGATCTTTGTCCTCAGATTCTTTATAAGTCCTATAAAAGACTGATCTAAAGAATCCTCTATCTATGGCATATTAATTTATAATAATAGAATCTTCTTAATTGTATCCTGTAAAACATGCTATTGATGTTACACAATTAATTCCTATAGGAACCTCATTTACTGTTATGAAATCAACTGCCTTAGAGGATGCTAATGGTTTCTGAGGATAATGCAGAATATGAACAAGAGTGTCAAATCGGATATTAAAATTAGTTGAATTTAAACCCATTGCTTATTTACCCATAGCACTTTATAATGTATTTCTAGGTCCTTGATTATGATTGGCAAATGGAATAACAGAAGCACAAACTCCAAACATCATACATGGGTGAATTTCACAGTGGGTGTATCTCTTAAAATTTTAAGTTCCTCTTGTCATTATATTAAGATCCATTGCAATTAATGATCCTTCCTCTTCCTCAACATCCAATAATTCTACGCATTTATTTTACAATAATTATTCCCAATCTGTAAATTAGTTCAGTTAACTTTTCTTTAATTTTAATTAGTTATCCTGAACTATAAACAATGGCCTCATGCATCTTCCAGCATCTGTGTAAATTCTGATTTCTTTATTCACATAATCAAAATTGATTGATACTTCAATTGGTATAAAACTTTCTTCAGCTGATCTTAAATTTTTAAATTCTTGGATAAATTATTCTGGATTTCTCGTAAACCCAATCCAATTACCATCTACCAATACTTTAGTCATTTTAGGAATATCTTAAGCTTAAAAATCTCCTTACAATAATTAAAAATCAAAAACATCTTATTTTAAAACCATTATTAATTTCAATAAAGTTTCTTTGTCTTTTTACTATAAATCATTAGAAACAGCTGTCATTAATGACAAATTTTTGACAATACCAATTTTTTATCCTTCTGGAGTTTCTGCTGGACATATAAAACCAAAATGTGTATTATGTAGTTATCTTGGTTTACTCAATTTCATTTGTGGGTTAATTGGAGCATTCATTCTTCTTAAATGGCTTAGGGTTGCAAATAATGATGTTTCTCTTTTTAAAGTCTATGCTACTCCTGTTTTCACTACCTATCCTTCTTTGCTTCTACCCCAATTACCGGTGGCTAAAGCATTATCAATATCTTTTGATATTTGTTCTCCATCAAAAAATGATTTAATATCATCTGGTTATCTCATATTCTCAATTCTGGTTTGTTAACCTTTGCCTCTTCTGCCTCCATTAATATACTTTTCAAGTGCTTTTTTAGCATTTTATTTGAATGATTCAAAAGATGTTTTAAAAACACCCATCATCATAGCTCCAGCCATATCTAATCTCTTTTTACCATAATGATCTCTATCATCTTGATCTGTTTTTCCTAAGGAGGCATTCAATAATCTATGCACTATGTATCCAATAAAATACGCCTTTCTATCCCTACTCTCTGAAGACACTCCAATATGAGGTAAAATATTTTTATTAATTAATTTTTTAGCTTCTTGTATTAATGTTTCTGGATCTTGATTTTCAGCCTTCTTTATTTTATTACCTATCCATCTAAGGCAAAGTTCTTCGTCTTCATATTCACCTCCCTCTTGTAATGATCCATATAACATTTCCAACATAGGTCCCATCTACTCATCTTCTAAATTGTACACTATTCTTTCTAAGATTTCCTAATCGCTACTGATCCCTAAGGCTCTAAAAAGAGTGAACAAAGGAATTCCCTAGGTGGAATTAAATTATTTCACACTGCATCTTATAACCGGAGTATTTTGTATGTATCTAAGTTCGACCTTAAAGTTATTTGGATTTGACCATAAATCTGGTTGAGATCTTATTTCTGCCACCCATGGCTTATTTGCTATTTTACTTTTAAACACCAAAACAACATTGTTCGCTATTCTCTCTTAAGCCACTATGACCTTCTCTGATCCTCTTAGAATAAAGTATCCTCCTTAATCAAATCCACACTCACCACTTTAAATTCTTTATTAAATTTATTCTGGATCTTTCGGATCTTTAGGCAAAGAACAAAATCGACTTCGAACCATTATTGGGAGTTTAAAAAATGGCAATCCTTTGAATATTTATTTGCTTTTCTCTTCTATTGAACCATCACGTTTATTTCTCTACTACATAGTAACTTCCAAGTCAATTTTTAGTTATCTTGAATATGTCAAATCTCTTAATCTTGCAATCATTGGAAATATTTCCTCCTCAAATTTATCAATATGGATATTCTTCTTCCCCATAAAGCATCTAACTATCTAAAATTAATATAGATATTCAGTTTATGCTTTTAAAATAATTAAATTTATTACCATCCATTCTTTCTTCTTCTTTATACTAGGGTTTCACTCTAACAACAAAAGTCCCTTCGTGACCTCTAACGTACTTTATGATATTTTCTACAAAACTTTCATACGAATTAATTTGTTAAGACACTAATCCGTGAGTTTAAAAAAACATATGAAGTACTTTCCAAATATCATCATTGTCTAATTTTTAATTTTCATCTTCTTCTTCTTAGATTGAGTCGTCAGAAAACAGTCTTGGATCTTCTTCCTCAACTTAAGACATTTGAGGTAATTTTTTAGTTAAAAATTTATATAAATAAATAAGGTATAATATTAAAATATAAATATCATTTTTTAGAGTTACCCAAAAGTTGGTTTCAAAGCTGAATATAAATTTAAGTTGTCTAAATTGGATTTCCAATTGTTTAGTTACAAAAAATAGGTATATTATTTATGTTCATTTTAGAAATTTATTCTTTTGTTTATTTAATAACAAATTAGGTTTTTATCAAAAAAGGATGAATTCTTAATACACTGAGCTTAGTGAAAATTTGTAAATAATTATTTAAGAGCTATTTACATATAGAAAGATTTGTAAATAAGCATTCATTCTAAATAGCCACGCATTAGATATGTTTTGAGAAGAATTTTTTTATGAACACCAACAGCTATTCATCCCCCTTGATTTGCATTCACTTATTGTAAATTATTATGATAAGAGCCTGAGGGGGGAATTTCCCCCTTTCCCTGGGAGTCCCATAAAACAATAGAATTTTAGCACTTTGTAATTTAGTACTCTCTAAAATCTAGTTGCTAGTGGAAGAGAAGTTGCTTGTGGAAGAGAAGTTCCAAGTGAGAATCATCATTTCTGTGGTAGTTGATGATTTTATATTTTATTTGCACATGCCAACTTTTATGCTTTTCTATTTATGTTTCTTGAATAAGCAAATGCCTGACAGTATGGTTTTGCAAATGTTAAATGCTCCTAGGTTTTATTTAGGCAAGGAATGCATTTTTCGTTCTATGTTATTTCAATCCTCTTTTGCCTTCAAATTCAACCTTGCAACTGTCACACATTTTTCCACCGCTATCTTTAGTTAAACATTTTATTTTTATCTACCAATCTCAATTGAAACGATCTTTTTCATTTCTCCCTATCTGAGTTTATTTAAATCATCCTATTAATTAAAGTCAATTCATTATTAAAAAATATCACTTTGTTCTTACTTCAATAATATTGAGTTTCTACCTATTTCTTTTTATCTCATACCATTTTGGATAATCTATCTTATAATTCTTTTTTCTAAATAAGATAATAATTAATTTACTTTCCATTCTTAATTAGGTCAGAAAAATGATAATTTAATTCTTTTATTTAGTTAGATTAGAAGAATGTTATAGTTGTATCTCTGCTCCCTTTAATATTAATTCTTTGTCTTTTTAATTTAAATAAGTCTACAGTTCTGAATATGAATATTTATAATGGAGTCATAGGTTATACAATCTTCTTTAGTTTTATGAATATCACATAGCTATTAATAATTTATTAGTTAAATCTCATCTTCTAATCTATGTTATTATTTTTAGGCAGGACAAGGATAAGTTGGTGTTTTAAGCAAATCCCTGTCTTAGCAGAAAATCGGTAAGAATCTTATTTCTGCATCTTTATTCGGTAACTTATGAAATATTTTATTGTAAAGTAATTGAATTGAATTAAAATTAATAAATTCTTATTACTGTCCACCTGAAAAATATCTATGTTAAAAAGATTAAAGCTGCAAAATATGAGGCAGAAAGTAAAAAAATTATTCATTTTAATTAAATTAAAGACTCTAAATATAATAATCATCCAGAACATCTACTTTCAAGCATCGATATATTGAAACTATTTTTTATAGATTTTTATTATTTGTACAGCTCAAATAAATATTTTAAATATTCTCAATATATTTATGCTTAACAATACGAAAGTTTATTATAAAAAACCAAGAGACTTTATTTAAGTATTTTATTTACTCTAATAATTTTCAAGGGCTAAAAAATAATCTTAATTATATGCAAGCCAAAATAGGTCCAAAAATTGTGCAAGATTAGCGTCTAACTTTTCCTAATTATAGAAATTTCTGAAGAAATATTCAACTTGATTATTAATCTTGAACTGAAAGCTACAACAAAAAATTTTATCCATATAATCAAATTAGCATTAACAAAACACAAGTTAATAGCCTCAAGCTTTTTTATGACTTTGCTTGTCTATTAGAGTTGAAATCTTCTCGAGTATAATATAGAAATATTTTTCATGAAATAAAGGCAATTTTAAATTAAATTCCTTCTATAAAGTTCAAGAGCTTTAAGATAAGCTTCCTCCTGTTGCTCTCTTTCTTCCCTCAAAATTCTCATTAATTTTTTTAACAAACAAGCTATATAGCTAGTTGTATGCTCCTAAATCTTTATTATTTCTCTTTTCATTGATAAATTTCTTTCGTTATTTCTTGGTTCTTCCATTTATTTTTGTTGATGAAAAAGTCTTTTTAAATATGTAAGAATTATTTTTACTTTTTAATGAGTCAAGACTTATTCAATATAAAATTTAATTACTATTGATAAACTCTCTTGCTTATATTAAGCTCAACCTTCAAAATTACAGGCATCATAGATTAAAATTGTGATAAGAGGAATTAAAAAATTAAGAACAGACATTAGAGTTTTAAAAAAGTAAGTGAACTAGAGGACCAGCATTTCTTACGTCTTTAAATTTATTTAGTGTCAAAACAGGATAATAAAAAGCCAAATTAGATGGTCATACTAGTACTGTCTACTCAGTCTGTTTCTCTCCTGATGGAAATACATTAGCTTCTTGTAGTGAAGATAAGTCTATCCATCTATTATATCAAAAACAAGTATTGTTCCGATTATAGATTTATAGAAATTTAGGTTAAAAATGCTAAATATCATTTTTTTAACACACTTTTTAAGAAAAATAATATATACATAATTTAGATACATCTAATAATATGGTTTACCCAAACTTCAATTTTTAATTTTTCAAGGTTTAAGAGAGTTTTATATAAAAAACCGTTTCCTTTTAAGAGAATTATTGGAGTAACACTTGATTAATTTAAAAAACTAACCTATATTAACCCTTAATTCAAATCTATTTTAATATACTTCTTGTGTCCAATGTTTGTTGATAGAGTTCTATTTTATAGTTTTTTTACTTTTTTAACAATCTTGAAGCATTACTAAAATGGAAATTAATTTAGCACATTTTAAATATTATGAAATAGAACCTTTAGTTACATGAATGCAATAATATCTTAAATCTTTGTATACTGTTATTTTGGTATTATTCTTNTACGAAAGTTTATTATAAAAAACCAAGAGACTTTATTTAAGTATTTTATTTACTCTAATAATTTTCAAGGGCTAAAAAATAATCTTAATTATATGCAAGCCAAAATAGGTCCAAAAATTGTGCAAGATTAGCGTCTAACTTTTCCTAATTATAGAAATTTCTGAAGAAATATTCAACTTGATTATTAATCTTGAACTGAAAGCTACAACAAAAAATTTTATCCATATAATCAAATTAGCATTAACAAAACACAAGTTAATAGCCTCAAGCTTTTTTATGACTTTGCTTGTCTATTAGAGTTGAAATCTTCTCGAGTATAATATAGAAATATTTTTCATGAAATAAAGGCAATTTTAAATTAAATTCCTTCTATAAAGTTCAAGAGCTTTAAGATAAGCTTCCTCCTGTTGCTCTCTTTCTTCCCTCAAAATTCTCATTAATTTTTTTAACAAACAAGCTATATAGCTAGTTGTATGCTCCTAAATCTTTATTATTTCTCTTTTCATTGATAAATTTCTTTCGTTATTTCTTGGTTCTTCCATTTATTTTTGTTGATGAAAAAGTCTTTTTAAATATGTAAGAATTATTTTTACTTTTTAATGAGTCAAGACTTATTCAATATAAAATTTAATTACTATTGATAAACTCTCTTGCTTATATTAAGCTCAACCTTCAAAATTACAGGCATCATAGATTAAAATTGTGATAAGAGGAATTAAAAAATTAAGAACAGACATTAGAGTTTTAAAAAAGTAAGTGAACTAGAGGACCAGCATTTCTTACGTCTTTAAATTTATTTAGTGTC